CCCCAAAACCCCAAAACCCCTTGATGTAAATTGAATTAAATAGTGTTGAAATGTAAATTGTAGATATATATTGTATAAGTCAAATCAATCCAAGTCAGAGTCATCATTTTTCCCATTTTATAGATTTTAGTTGAGCAGGTCAAAATCTCCATAATCTATATCATTTGGATGAATTTTTAACTAGGCTCTAGCATTCTCTTGCTTCTAACTTTCTTACATTTCTTCTTCTTTCTGTTATTCTTCCTACTGGGCTTTATTTTTATATTCAAGATATCTATTCTTCAGCAATTGTATTTTCTCCTTCAAAGTACGAGTATTGACATCTACCTCATGGCTGAGACCTTTAAGATCTTTCTTAAAAATTTTGATACCAAATAGTTCAATCATTTTATTCTGGATATCGCTTGTCCTATCTCCTTAAAAATCTGAAGTTAGTTATAGGAATAAGATCTCTACATTTTCTTTCTTGTAGAAATCTTTCTTCGTTTTGAGTTAATCTATGCTGAACTTAGAAAACTTTTCTTTTAATTCTTCCTCATAAGAGTCTTTACTCAAGAAATGGGTGTTTGATTCTTACTTATCAAGGCTTAGATCATCATTTTTACCATTATCGTTATCGATTCTACTAAATTCATTATTAGCAGCAATTTCCTTAGGATCAAATAATACATTCAGCATTTTGAATGAAGGTATTCTAGATTTCTAAGGTTTACCGTATGTCTTATACTTTCCTATTAGCTTTTTCCATCCTTCTCCGCCGAGTTCAACATCAAAATCTGTTTGAAATAGAGGAAACAAGTTTGTTAAATGAAGATTTTCATAGAATGCTTTTAATAATGCAGTGGGTCTTGTCTTCTATGTTTTAAGTGAATTCTCAAGTGACTTCTAAAATCTGATGCATAGATTTTTATTAAGTTAATCATCTTGTATCAATGAAGGCTACTACTGAAATAGTGCACAGTCTGGCCCTTACTTCATTATTCTAAAGGACCCTAATTGATTAATTATTTTATATCATACAAACTAATCTGAGAGTGAATGGATCAGCACCTTTTGTCTTAAGGATATTATAAGCATTAGCAGCTAATCTTCTTTCACTTGTACTTGGCATTTCCTCAATTCCACTATGAAAAGAATTAGAAAATAATTATTGTCGGTAAAAAATTTACATATGAATAGAACTTCCATCGATCTTTTTCTCTATGAGTATGTCTAAGAAAGTATAGGGTAGTTATTCTGCATTTGCCCAGATCACAACCTCCTCAGTATCCCAACTTTAGTAACCTATCTATGCCATTTTATTAAGTTAATTTATTAATCTATTGAAATTAAATGAAGAATATATAAATTTATAAAATTCAAATATAAATAAAATGATAATTTAACAGCACAATCATCTGACTACTGAGCAAAGTATGGCTAGTATATCAGCTGCAACTGAAAAAGAAACTGATTTTATTACAAAGTTAGATTACACTTAAATAGAAGAAATGGATCCAAGTCTCTGTAAGTTAATATATATATCTAAGGGGTAATTTATAGATGATGGTCATAAAGTTATCTTTGATGAATTAATGCCAGTCGAAGTAAAACTTTTAGATGGTAAGATAAAATCAAACTCTTTACTAAATCATTTTAGATGATGAGGGGGTTATAGAAGAGCTCAGAATAAGAGTTTTAATTTTGGTAATAAATTCATTCAAATATCAATTACTCTTATTTGCAGGGAGATGAAAGACAACCTATGAATATAAAAATAGAGATTACTAGTGAATCAGACATTTTCTTTTTCTACTAAAATACGTAAGTTTCTACTTTATTTTGAAACAACTTGGATATAGAACAAATGAAGAGAAATTTAGAGTAATTCAGGAATAATAAAAGCTTTCCCTCGACTATCATGATTTCACAGGAATGGTATTGAAAATTTTAACAACTTGTGTCAAGCCATAATCAACGTAACTTCAATACCTATAAAACCTTATAGATTCATAAGCTCGCTAAGTTTAGATAACGAGGAAAGGAAAGCTTATTTGGAATTTTTCCAGGACACAGAATATAGAAGGGTTGAAATGCTTAAAATAGACTTAGAGGAATGTGATGATGATATAATTAAGAATCATATTACATACCGACTGTCTGCAACAAAATAAAAGACTATTATGATGCAGGAAAGAGTCAAGGATATCATGGCTATAGTAGAAGAGAAAAATCCAATTCTAATGCAAGAAATTTATAAAGTATCGCCCTCTATTTACTCAAGACAATGAATCAATAAACGGCTTAAAATTTTCTTACTAAAATTTTTCCATTTGAATTCATTTATCTCAAAATTTAAGATATCGGGGTTTTGGGGTTTTGGGGTTTTGGGG